CTCTATTACACAGTCTGTTTTGGGTGTGTTTTTGATAGAGTGCGATTCTTGTGCTTTTAGAGAGAGAGAGAGAGAGAGAGAGAGAGAGAGAGAAGTATTTTGAAAAGTTGAGAAGGAAGTCGGGGTTGATCGGTACTTTAAACTAAAATTTAGGAGGCTTCCCAGCGTTGAGAATGATGGTGGGAACACTTGGTGGAGTGTAGTTAACTATAGTTTTGATGCTTTGTCTGGGATAAGTTCAAGAGTTTGGTTTATATTAAAGAAAATATAAGCAAATCACAATTGTCCGAACACTATCATTTCGATGAAATCAAACCTTTTCTGTAATTCGGTAAAAATTAAAAATTCTTTTGCTAAACTAGGTTTGTAACTATGTAATAATGCATTTTTTACTGCATCAACTACGTCATCCAAAACAAACGAATGCTTTTGAAAATAGATACCTTGGACAAAAAGAAAGGTTAGGTGCGTTGCCAGTTTTTCGTTTGAACTAAGACACTCTTGTAGGGTCTACTTCGTCTTGTATTTCGACAGTCAGAACTATCTAGTTGTTAGGTTTTCCTTACAAAATAACCTTTGCAAAAAATCACTCAAATTCGAAACTATTTAACCACTCAATTAATAGTAAGCACCGTATTTGTTTATTTTGTTGGTCACAATTAGATGTCTCAATTCTCTATAATTTGTCTAATTTTTTTGCAAGAATGATCTACACATAAAGACTTGGAAAATAAACGTTAGTTCGGATCATTGAAATAACATTTGTAGCGAATCCCACAAGATTTCCAATGAATAAAATTATTCAAAAATTCCCTCAATAATAAGGAAACCCTAACATATACGTATAAATTACTTAATGGCTAACAATATGTAGAGTGTGGATAGTACTGTCTGACTCTTATTATTTAAAAGATAGCCCTTTTCAATACATAAAGGTTACCTGTAGACAAAAGGTTTACTTCACGTAGTTGGAAATGTTCTACGAAGGTGTGTACTCTCACATCTTGTCTTCAACTTAGTTTAACCCCTAGGTTTTATCCATCACCTGCCAATCAACCCAACAATTAATTTATTATTTTTTGTCATCATCACTCTCAACCCACTCTCCCTTTTGAAGTATATTTTTTCTTCCCTCGTTGTTGGCTTTTCTTGATTAAATATGTACGCATAAAAAAATCAAAGGAAAAAAGAATAATATATTCATCACATGTTTCTAAGGAAGCCCGGCCACGAAATGTTTAAGACATAAGTCACTCAAGCTAAATTAATGTTTTTTTTAAAGCTTCTGATCTCACATTTGTTCTTTACCAACAAATGTAAATATCTGATTAAGGCCCTAATCACTCCGTCAATGATGATGCGGATTGATAATGCCACTGGAAATGTGTACTTGTACAACTATTTGTACAATGTTTTTTAAACTTTAGCTATATGGTCATAACAACCTCCATTTATTTGATAATTAAGAAACTTGCACATCACTTTATTTGAGAGACCTGTGTATTTTATAAGATCTAAACTATGGGCCAGAAAATATGCAACAATAATTTTAAAACTTATTATAAAAGAAAAATATTAAACACGAAAGGGAGGGCTTCGGAAATTTGATTAGATGGGTATTGAAGATAAAATCCCCACAAAAAATTTATGACACATTAGGACCAGTTTGATAACCATTTTAATTTTAGTTTTTAGTTTTTTTATTTTTTGTGCTAAAGTATAGAGGAAAAAGAGGGGGAACGAGAATGAGTGAAGATGGGAGGGAGGAGTAACAAAAGTGAAAACAAAAACCAAAAACTAAAATCTATTTGAAATTGTTTTCAATATCAAGTTTTTGTTTTCACTTTTGTTACTCATTCCTTCCATCCTAGCCTCACATCCTCTCTCTCTCAATCTCATCTTTACTCTCATTACGACTCTCATTTTCCTTATTTTTCTCTCTACTCTAACATAAAAATTAAAAAAAAAAAGAAAAAAAAAAGGGGTTTAATAGACTCCACCTTTGGCTTACCCCACAATCTCCACTAGACACCATGAGAGGTCGTTACAATGTGAAAGGTCGCATGCCTACGTCCTTTTTTTATTTTGGGTAAAAGGCCCACCTCCTTCTATTCTTAATTTATTTGCCATTTCAAGGAGGACTAAACTTTTCCTATCCTTATTTAGATCTTATCTTAATTTTCTTTGACATGTCTTACTTCTGTCTGCACGTAAAATTATAACTTCGATTTGAAAAATGGAAAAAAAGCCCAACAGTTCAAGAGTCGTTCCCACGGTCATCATATCCATTGAACCAAACTTCCTAATGTCGCCCTCGCTGTCGTGCCATTGCCGCTATGCTTCGCCAGTATCAATCTACCAAACAACATGAAAAGTTACAAGAAAAAGAAAGTAATGACTCACACCAACACTCCATTTCAAGTTGGTGTATATACACATATCTTGCATCTGAAGATTCTGTTGTGAATTTTAAATAACCTGAAAACAAAGATTTTTTCAAACACAACTTATACTTCACAAGTGCAGAAGGTCAATCACAATTTAGCAAGGCAAGCACGAGGTCATTCCCACGAGGATTGAGTTTAACCTAATTTATTTTACAAAAAACTTTAACTGCTCTAATTAATATATACAGGAAATTAAACATGTAGCTTATTCACATAAGCACAAAGGGGGTTTTTGAATGAGTGATTCAATTAACTAAAACAACCAAAAATTAAAAAACAAAATAAAAATAAAAAGTCAAAGCACACAAAGATGAGAAATTCAAATTGATGAAAGCACGTGATAATGAATTTACCACTAGTAATCTTATTTACGTATCTATTAATTAATTCAATTGATGCTGCCGCTTAGTTTTCCTTTTTCATGAATTACCTATGGTGTTTGTGGGAACAAAATATCTCAGGTCCTAGGTCAAATAATTAAGCCAATCAATTTGGGAATTATTTGACCTAATTGAGAATTACTCGATTTAATTGGGAGTTACCTGATTTAATTGGGGATTTATTTGATTCTTACCTTAATTAGGGATTTGATTTAAATCAAATCCCTAATTACACAAATCTCGCCAAATTAGGGAAGAATAATTCCTTTCCATATGTGGAATTATTCTTCTAGAATCTGAGTCTCCGAGACCCCTATAAATAGATGGCTACACACAAGGGTTGAGGTACGTCTAAATTTCTCTCTGAAACTCTACAGAAATTATCTTTCACAAACCCTAGCCGCCATACTCTCTCTCTTTCTCTCTCTCTCTCTCTCTCTCTCTCTCTCTCTCTCTTACACAAGGCTCCAGCCACCACACAAGGCTCTGGCCGCCGGGTTCACACCATACATACATCTCCGTACCCTTTTTAGCTATTGTTTCTCTACGAATCAATTGAACTAACTAAGGCATCGGAGGGCCTTTGGCCAACACCCCTGAGTGTGGTCCTCTCATTCCAATTTATTTTGCAGGGAGAAAGAGACGACGAAGGGGAAGACGGAATCTTAGACGAATATTCCCGTGGGACGAAAATCGCTCTCACAGTATTTAGGGAAACTCAAATATTTCTACATGCAGCAAACTTGCATCGATGGTTTTGATGATGCAAAAGCAGAACTCAAGGATAAAATTCGCCTATGGTATTTAAGTCAAATATGAACATATAGAAACTCATTAATTAAGATCAGTGAAAAACTCTAACGAGCATGTAATCCTTAGGAGAATGATAATTACCCTAGAAGAATTACAAATCTTAATCATAAGAAGCAAGCCTCAAATTAAGTATGGTATTTACTCTAATTTTCATCAGATAAACTCAATTAAAAATCTAGATGGTGATCAGGAGATTGGTACTAAGGTGAAGATGGGTAAATTAAAGGTTACTTTAAAGACTTGCCAACTACACAAACCTTAACTTAACCTGAGATCAATATGACTAGTCAACTATTAGTCATAAACTAGCAATAATCACACATACAGAAGAAACTGCCAATACTTGCGAACTTATAAGATCACTAGTGACAATTTTGGCACTTAGAAGGACCCGTCAATCTAGGCATCCCCTATGCTAGCAACAACTAAGGTGAGTAGTGTATACATCAAGATCATATATATATAGCAACATTCAAATGATGACTAGTCAACAGCAAGAATACAACAGCAGAAAAACATGAACAACAGACATCATTGCGAAAAACTGGGAGTCATCATCCAACCAAGCAATCTACTAACCAAAGAAGATTCTTACAGAGAAATCATAAGCAAGCTCAAGGAAACCTAGATCTATGTAGGAAATGAGCTATACCTCCTATATGCAATCTTCTTTTCCAAACTTAGCAAAGCTTGCAGCTAGTTCTTCATGGCAATGGAAGCTTCCTCCTCAGCTCGTTCATCCCATGGCACCAACTCACACAACTCAACTCCAAACAAGAACGAGAGATTTATATTCAAAATGAAATTATCAATTTCTTCAAGAAACCATACTCTTGAAGAAATCAATATAGAATCCAACTTAGATCTATATGAGAATGTGTTTGATTTAGCTAGATAAATTTCAAAGCAGTTTTCAAAATCAAATTGAAAAACTAATTTATGAAAAGATGGAGAAATCACTCCAAAGAAGAGGAGAGCAAAGGAGGAGAAACTCACAACCTCTCAAAAATTC